CCCTGAAGGCATTCGAGGAACAAAAAAAAAAACACAAAAAACACAAAAAACAAAATGGGGCCGGGGAGATGGCTCAGTGGAATAAGCGCTTCCCCCCTGGCAAGCGCAAGGGCCTGAGTTCAATCCCTGGTTCTGCCAAAAAAAAAAAAAAAAAAAAAGAGTCTCCCCATGAGCCAGTGGTCGGTGCGGGGCAACCAAAGGGCACCCCATTTCCTGCACTTTGCATTTCAATTGGTATTCTGAAATCTTGGATTATGTCATTTTCTTTTACCTTATTTGGACTACGGAGTTGTGCAAGAATGTAATGAGTAATTCTTTTTCTTTTTGAATACTGGAATTGAGTTATGTGCCTAGTCCTCTCTTCATACTTTATTTTGAGACGGAGTCTCACTATGCCATAAAGTTGTTCATACTGGGCTTGCACTTGTGATCTTCCTGCCTCAGCCTCCCAGAGTTCTGGGATTACAGGTTATACTGTTCCATACACCCTGGCTAGTGGGAATATTTCTGGAAAGGCAGAGATGCTTGGTATATATTTTGTCACAAACAATTAAAAAAAACTTACTTTAGCAATTACACAAAAGTGAAATGTAAAATAATGTATAAAAAGATGTAGGAATATAAAATTAGGCTTTAGATGCCTAGTGTTAGTAGGTATTACAAAGCACTATAGCTCCTGGAATCCTTAAAGCATGTAGAACACCTTGTTTTTTTCTTTCTCTTTTCTGTTTACTGATACTATTTCCTCGAATTTTCTTTATTTATGCTATACATTTGTTAAACTTTCATACCAGCGAGACATATGGAGTCAACGCAAGCCTTGGAAAGGTTTCCTAAAGACTGTTCTCCTTTTGTTCATAGTGCGGATTTTTTTTTTTAAGAGGAATATTTAAAAGAATAAAAATCTCAAATTTTAGAAGAATTTTATTTTATTTTTTTGGCACCAAGAATCGCCTTCTTGACCTCAGGCATGCTAGGAAGGTGCTGAGCCTCACAGCTACAACCTAAGCCCCAGCCCTACGAAGCATTTTCTAATTGTGTATCTTTAAAGTACCTGACCATTCTATCTTTGGTTGAAACAGCAACACAGCTACTTTTCGTGGGATACAGGAAGTTTGTGTCATAAAGGAACTGACACGATACAACTTTTATGAAAGTTATACTCAAGCTAGTAAAAACAATAGTAACCTACTCAGTAACAATGAAATTTCTGTGTGTAGCACAAATTATGCAATAAGCTATTAGCGCTGCCCTTTTTCCCATAAAACACAATGACTGACTGTGGAGATGGTTCTGGCTCTGAGTTTGTTGTTGCTGTTTTGGTGGCACATTTATTTATTATTATTCTTTATTATTATATTTTTTTATTTTTGGTGCCAGGTATCGAACTTAGGACCTTGAACCTGCCAGGCAGGTGCTTATGCTGCTGAGCTCTCTCCCTGGCCCTATTTATTTATTTATATTTTTAAGGAAGGGTCTACAGGGTGTTCAGGGTCTCATTACTAGATCAGACTAGTAGTGATCCTCCCGTTTATAGCCTCCCAAGAGCTCGGATTACAGGCATGTGCCACCACGCCTAGTCTCAATTGCTGTCTCAGCGAACCCCTGGCCCCTGCGCCTGCTTGCAAGAGCTTTAATCCACTGAGCTATTCGGCTAGCCCTATTTATTTTTTGGAAACAGGGTCTTGCTGTGTAGCCCAGGGTGGCCCTGAGCTCATGTTGAACCTCCTGACTCAGCCTCCCAAGTGCTGGGATTATGGGCTTGTGCCATCACATTTGACTGGGGTCACTTTCATACAGGCCAAACTCAAATGCTAAGAGTACGTACAGTATATCTGATGACAGGAAAACAGTCCTGATTATGAGAAATGGTTTGCATGGCTGCTGTTATCTTCAAAAGTTCTTTTTTGTTGTTTTTTGTGGAACCGGGGATTGAACTCAGGCCCTTGCGCTTGCCAGAGAAGTGCTTATTCCACTGAGCCGTCTCCCCAGCTCCAAAAGTTCTTAATTTATTAAGTTCTTTAGTAAAGTTTCTGGGCCGCCACAGCTGTTCCCATGTGGAAACTTAAGACTGATAATGTTATAGGGAAGGACAATGAAACGGGTGTTCAGTTATGATATACAGAAACACAGGAAATTACTTGATTCAAATAAATAATAATAACTAACAGTCTAGAAAGAAAAAAAAACCCACTCAGTTTGTCTTCCAATGGTTCTTCATTAATTAAATAAATGTGACAGAATAGGTCCCCTGGTCATGAATAAAGGTTATGCTAAAAATCACCGAACCACAGAATGTTACTGCTAGTATTAAAAGCACTAAACACTCTCAACACTATAGGTGCAAAAAAGTCAGTCCAGGTAAGCACCACCTCCATCCAGACACACGGCCAGTGAGTAAGCAGTAGCAAGTTACTGCAGTGTTCTATGTATTTGTGCTCCTATTTTCAATGTTAATAAGTACAACACACAAATCTAATTTTTTTTTTTTTTTCTTTTTGTCCTTTTGAGACAGGGTCTTACTATGCAGTTCTGGCTGGCCTTGAGCTCATTTTGTAGCCCCGTTTGATTTCAAACTTGCAAGGATCCTCCTGCCTCAGCCTCCCTAGTGCTGGGATTATAGGCGTGCACCACCATACCCGGCATGATCATTATTTTTTCAGATTTGGCGAACAACAATATTAGCCTCTGGGGCAAGTTACAAGCATATCCATATACTCAGATATTCACATTATATAGAGGAGACTTTATCTTGCCTTACTACACTGTAACATCAGATCGTCTAGAAAATGTGACACTTCCTCCACAACCTGAGCGACTTCAACCACAAAACAGAAGAAAATTATAGTTTTAAATGGTATATTTTTCTTAAAGTCCTGAATTTTAGCTAAAACAACTAGGTAAAAAGCATTTTTCTTCCCTCCTCAGCAGCTTAGCCAAGGTACAAATAGCACTTCAAAAGTACAACGAGCCACACAAAAAAACCCCTGCTGCCGTTTGTTAATTTTCTCTGCAGCCCTTGGCGGTTTATGATGTACTTCACGTCTAACAACGCTGTAAGTGCTTCAGCTTTTGATATTTTCCCCCGTGTTGTTCCCAGGACACAAGAGGATGAGTGGCAGAAGATTACTAATTGACAAAGAAGGAAAACAGTAATTAAAACCCATGACCGAGACATAGCAATTAAAGCTTGAGAAAATTACCTGCTTTGTATGCTCTCCATCATCGAAGTCTTCTGGAAACTTCGGGGACTCGGGCTAGAAGAGTATCACACTCACATCAGCGAGTGCTTGGCATAGGGCCACAGCGCATATATTTATTCACCACAAGTTGAAAAACCAAAAGCAGAAATGAAAGTTTGCTGACAAGGAAGGACTGAGGACATGGCTTCTTCAAATTGGATCCCCATTCCTTCTTTGTGTAGTGGCTTTACATATGCATATTAAGGTGACAGTCTAAACAATACTACCTTAGTCATCAAAATCATTATTTTAATACAGGTTTACCCAAACACCAGCTTTTTTTTTTTTTGGTAGAACCGGGGATTGAACTTAGGCCCTTGTAGTTGCCACGGAAGAGCTTATTCCTCTGAGCCAACTCCTCAGCCCCAAAAACACCAGCATTGGCTATAGAAAATATCTTTTCTGAGGACTATTTAAAAATATAATGGTTTCAGAAAGAGACAAAATAGTCTCATTAAACACACAGCGGAAAAAGGCAAAAACAAAAACAAGCCAAAATATCCAGAAAGCCTCCCGCCCCATCGACAATGCAAAGTAAGCAAACTAAAACCTTAAATGGGATGTCCTCAAAGTTTTCCCCTTCTCTGGTAAATAGTGCCTCAGTCATAACATTAACTTGACAGTTTAGATATTTTTGAAATGAAGGAACAAAATGTGAATTGGAGACTAAAAAAAGATATTTTAGCAAGGACAGGCACAGCCATCTAAGAGGATCTCCTCTTACACTTAAAACAACAGCGGGCCACACTGCTCGGCAATACAGAGAATTCAACTGAAACACCTACAGGAATATTCATAGTTACAGGATATATGGTTTAATGCAATGACTACTCCTGCTTCACACTACTGGATAAGGACAAGGAAGGCTCCCTAGATCGCTTACTCATGGATCCCTGAATCTAAATTCCCAGTTCCCAAATCTCAGGCTGTACTCTCTCCTTCTGGGGCCCGTAACTGTCACAGGACCACAAGACCTCTTAGGCTCAGGCAATGACAGGGGCAAGGATTAATCTCAAGAACACAACGGGAGATTTCATTTGGGAAAAATTTTTAAGGAGCTACTACTTTCCTCAGATCCATTTCAACTTCCAATTCATGATGGTTTTCTTAAGAAATTCAATATCAAATAGCCATTATCCGTTCACCCATTCCCCTGGTTGTAACTATTAATATCATGCAAACACTTTTGGATTCGCTTTAATATTAAAAATAAATTTTGCCAGGCATCCATCACGGTACATGACAGTCACCTCAGAAGGCAGAGGCAGGAGGATTGCAAGCATTGGGCCAGCCTGGGTAACTCCCTGTCTTAAAATAAAAAAAATTAAGGGATGGCAACCAGCTCAGTAGTAACAATGCGACTGCTATGTGAGAAGCTCTGGATGAAATCTGCAGTACCATACACACCAGGAAAAAAGAGAGAAGAACAAATTTCTCAGATAGTAAGTGTATTCTAGCAATTTCTCCACGATGTCAAAAGATAAACAGCTGTAGATTTTCATAGAAGAGAAGAATTAAGACTATCCTAAATGCTGATAGTCTCTGGCTCACATAACAATTAGTATGTAATTTATTTATTTATTTTTATGTGTTTAGCAAAGGGTCTGCAGGGTCTCACTACATAGATCGGACTCATACTGATTCTCCTGTTTTCAGTCTCCCAAATGCTGGGATTACAGGTGTGTACCACCACTCAGTCTCAATCGCAGTCTCAGGGTGCCCTGGGTGGGGCCAGCATGGCATGCTGGGGATCAAACCCTGGCTGCTGTGCTCTGCTTAAGCAGGTGCTTTAGTCCGCTGAGCTATTTGGCTGGCCCTGTTTGTGTTTATTTATAAAAATGTAACATTTTCTTCTGCTGTTTTTTTTTTTCTCCGAATGACTTCAGGGAAGGTTTGGCTGGCTTGAGCTGTGGGGATCGAACCACAGCAACCTGAGCCTGACTGCTTTGTCGAAGCAGCCACTTAAAGAACTGAGCTAAGGGGCAGGCCCCCTTTTTTCTGTTTTAAAGAGAATATAGTAAAAAAGAAAACAAGAAAGCATTAGAAACAATACAGAGTTTCACTCTATATATGCACGAGAGCTTGGATAATCGTACTGCTGATTTCTATCGTCTACTGAAAGGAGCAATTAATGCTAAAATTTTTTTTTCTTTCTTTTTCTTCTTTTTTAATTTCCTACAACTTTTAAAAAACTGATTTTACATATTTATACTGGTAATCTAAACAACTAATTTGAAGATAATATGTAATACAATAATCATTGTCGAATTCCTATTATTTTATTTATTCTTTTTGTTTTTAGTCTTTTAAGACAGGGTCTTGCTATGTAGTATGAACTCAGTGGGTAGCCTAGGCTGGCCTCAAACTCATGGCAGTCCTCCTACCTCAGCCTCCCAAGAGCTGGGATTGTAGGCGTGCACCACTATGCCAAGCTTAAACCATTGTTACTTTAACAACTTAAATAAGGTGGCTGCCCTTGTTTAGAAAACATTTCATTGCAAATGGGGGAACTGTTCAGCTTGGCATGTCTCAGCAAGTGAGTTATTAAGATTACAGCAGGGGGGCCAGGGAGATGGCTCAGTGGAATAAGTGCTTCACTGGCAAGCGCAAGGGCCTGAGTTCAATCCCCAGATCTGCAAAAAACAAAAAGATTACAGCAGGACAGCCTCTTTTATAGCATTAATACTAGGAAGATACTCCACCTAGAATCCTTATCTCTCTGCTAAGACCAAGACCACTAGACACTTGTGCAGCAGAACACCTGGTACGTACGTCTCTGAGCTGGTTGAGAACGAAGATCCTTTCTGAGGCTGTCACCATGGGATGATAGGACATCTCAAAGAAGATAATTCCCAGGCTGAAGAGATCTACTTTCTAAGGGAGGAAATATTATAGTTAGAGAGCCTTGCTATGAAAGCATAATTTACCAGGGAATTATAGGAACAGCACTGTTAGGTTAAAAAAAAAAAAAAAAAAAATGGCTCGCCTAAGTGCAAAATAAGTTACACTAGAAAAATTTGATGATTTGGTCTAAAAAAAACTACAGGTGTAAAATGATTTATAGTTGATGACAAAGTATTGGGCATGATTTCTCGCAATACTTTCCTTGAATATTATTTGTACCTTGTTTAGCCGCATACACACACACATGCACACACACTCCCGCATACCCACCAATAACTTGTCTGAAGACTGCAAATGTTGGCAGAAGAGCATACCAAGCAAGACTTGTAAAAATTTTATCTTGAGTTGCAGATATAGCTCAGTGATAAAGCTCTTGCCTAGCATGCATGAGGTCCTGGGCTTAACCCCCAGCACTGTCAAAAAATAGAGAGAAAATGCATGTCTGTGTCAGGAGAGAGACCATAATGGTTAGTAGTGTAGGAAAGAAAAAAAAAAAAAAAAAAAAGCCAAAGAATTTGCTTTGCCTTACACCTTCACTAATCATTTCAAAAATGAAACACCGCTGCCTGGTAAGCACAAAATCCATAGTGTAATCCCTGGTACCGTATAAATAAGTAAATAAATAAATAAAAACAATGAAATGCTGAAATCTGCAGCTGATGGAAAAGTTAACTACCTAGTGCAAAGCTCTCTTGCTGAGGACAGACTAACAAAACAGGATGATCATGGGACTCATCCTAAAATAAAAGGCAACTTATGGTGGGAGAAAGTATTTGCAAACCACACATCTGACAAAAGGCTAATAGTCAAATATACAGAGAACGCATACAATGCACAGAAAAAAAAATCAATCCAATCAAAATAGGTCAAGGACCTGAACAGGAAACTTCCCAAAGTAGACAAAGGACTAACCAGGAGAGGTGTGAAAAGACAACCGCATTACCAGTCACAGAGGAACCGTGGGTCAGCACCACGGGGCCTCACTCACTTCTTGCTAGTTCTTGGTCGTATCAAGGGGTCAAAAGACGGTAAGCACTGTGAGGATGTGGACAAAGGGAGACCTGTGCACTGCAGATGCGCAGTACTGGTGCTGCCAATACTGAAAACAATACGGAAAAGGCAAACCCAGAATCACCACACGACACAGCAATCCAAAGGAAAAGAATCACTGTCTCCAAGACATCTCTATGCTTATGGTAACACAGAATTAGTCACAGTAGTCACCATAGGCAATCAACATGCTGGTTGACAGGTAGATAAAGAAAATGTGGTATAAATATAGTAGAATATTATTTAGCTTTTAAAGAGAAGGGGAATCCTGCCATTTGGGAGAACATGGATGGGAGCGGAGAGCATTATGCTAAATGAAATAAGCCAGACACAGAAAGATAAATACTGACAGGTCTCTCTCATAGGTTGAATTTACATAAAAATCCAACTCAGCAATAAGTGGTTTACCAGAGGCTGTGGGTTGGGGTAAAAGGAGAGATTCCTGTATGCTGCCCTTCCTGTTGCTCAGCACGCCACAGCCAAACTGCTCCAGCGGAGCTGTCCTAAACACGCCAAGCTTCTCCCATCAAGGCCTTCTCTTCATACTCATGTTTTCCTGATGCATCTCTTTCCCTTCAGGCCCCAACCCAGTGTGCATTAGCTCTTTTCATTTCTCCCTAGTGAAGATGCCTGCTTCTGCTGTTTTGTCACTCAACTCCATTTTTTCCTCATCCTTAGCTTTTGTTATAATTTGTGATGATTTTTCACTTGTTTGCTAAGTTTCATACACCACTAGACAATCTCCTCAAGGAGATTTTCTGAGGGCTTGGCGCCGTCTCCTCACTTGACTGCCATGTTCCCTGTGTTCCCGGAACCTTTCTTGCTCAGGACATGGTTTAGTTCACATATTCTGGGATGGACAGATTGGACGGCCAGCTCCTGTTTGGCTGTCCTTGGGACTGTGGGTCCTGTGGGAATGGAAGCCAGTGAAAGCTCCTGACTGTTTGAGCTGGTAACTAAATCCCAAGCACTGTGATCGTGTTGTTCCTGCTCTGCTTTACCTCTGAACCCTTCTGCATTCCCCAAAAGCTCTGTACCTGGTTATATGCAGATTTGGTGCTTCCTTGGACCTCTGGGCTCACATACAAAGCCGTGCCAACCATCCCAGTCAAACGGCCTGTGTGGAGGGAAACAGAGGGAAACCTTCCCAGTGATAAAATTTATAGAAAAGGAAAATTTAAAAAAAGATTTCTGAAGCCTGACGCCTGCTTGGTTAGCCGTCTGCAGCGCTGCCAGGAGGAAGTAGTACACATTGCCACATACAATTAACTTAGTCACAGCAGTATGCTTTCCCACACACAGCTGTCTGCTGCTGCAGAGAGCAGTGCCTCAGAAAGAGCATCCTGGGTAGGCCAGGTCCTGGGGTTACCTCACACAGTCACCTGGAATTAAGAGAGTCGGGCTGTCTGCACACGGTAATCAAGTATTCTAACTGAAGCTATGAATCTGAAGGACTATACAGCAAAATGGAGAGGTAAAGGCATGTTCACACTTTTGCTAATTAAAATTCACTTTGGAATAAAGTCTTTACAAATGAAAAGCAGCCATCAGGTTAAGAAACTTTGAAGTCTATTTTCCAATACATGGATGAAGTACAGTCTTCTGGATTTACCTGAAGAATCCAACTTAATCAAGTGATCTCCTGCATGCTCATCTTGTTTGCTGTCGGCCTAAAAGCAGAAGTAAGCCAAGCATCAAATCAACACGGTACAATACTCCACAAGAATGGCTTGTTTTGCCACTTGAACATATATTCATAAGTGAAATAAACCAGACACACATGTGTAAATAT